GATATGATTCTATTGGATATTAGCTAGCTAGTATGATGGGCTATTTGAACCCAGGATTTGATATTAATGAATGAATGGATTCAATATGAACACAAATTTCATGCATACAGAATATCAAAACCAAAATCAACATCCAACATTCCATCTTACGCTTGCTTAGGTTCTTAAGTAAGAACTATTCATGAGAAATCATTGGATTTTCATATATGAAGGTGGGCAGCATGGTTGTGGGTTAAACAATGCAACAAGGGTTATCTAATCGGACCTAGAGTTGCAGGGGATTGACACATAACCACGAAGGTCGATATACCTAAATTTCTTAAGTTTCAAGAGTTTTAGCTTACTGAAGCTAATGTTCAGTGATCACCAGCCTAGTGCCTTCGTTTACAACGGCTAGATTCATAATCCAAGCTTTAGACATTTAATAAAAGCCAAAGCAAGATATTTAAATGTTTAATGTGGCGGTGGGCTGAACCAACTAGGCTAATCAACTAGGCTAATTTAAGCTCAATTTGGTTTGATTTGACGCAATGTGACTCGATTACTTCAATTAGACTTGATTAAGTTTATGTTAACTCAATTATGTTTAATTTAACTCATTTCAACTAGATTCAATTCAAGTTGACTCGATTTGACTCAATTTGATTAGATTCAACTTGATTATCAAATTTAAGGCTGAATCAAACAAATATTTTCTATTAAATAGAATTGTTTGATTCTATTAACTCAAATTGACTTGCCTCAGATAAAAAATTGTGTCGAATTTGAGTTGATTAGTCAAATTGATTCAATGGGTTGTCTCAGGTCATAAGTTGAATTGGAATTGGAATTGGATTTAATTAAATTGTGTCAACTTGATTCAAAAATCGAGTCAACAAAAATTTTAAGAACAAATTTTCTTCTTACCTATTTGAAATTTAGGTATTATATCATTAACATGTTAAAGAGGATATGTCAAGTGATTAGGAAAACTTATGAAAAATATATTAAATAACAACCTCGAACAAAAACAACCAATTTAACATTTTGGAGGAGTTTTTAATTATATCCATTGAATATAACCAATTTAACATTTTGAAGGAGTTTTAAAATTTATCAAATTTAACAAAAACAACAAACTGGTTCATGTCTAAAGTAGTTTTTACAAAATTTTCGACTGGCCGGTGGACCCGTTCACGGTTCAACCAGTTGAACCGACCGGTCCAGTCCGATTTTTAAAACATTGCTTTCTAGATTCAAGAAACTATTTCCGAATTGATTTGGGTCGATTCGGGTCCGTTTGGATCCAATCGAGTCAATTTTTTAAAATTGGGCTCGAATCGGCACCAAATTGCGTCGAATTTCGTTCTACGAGGCTCAAATGGATTCGATTCGAATCGATTTTGGGTTGATTCTATCAATTTGATTTTAATTTTATAAAATTAAAGGATTTAGTTAGGGTTCAATTTAGATAAACTTATACTTAACGATGGTCGATTGTGTCAATCGAGCGTGATCGAGCCCAGTCGGGCTGGACTTGAAAATATACGTCAACAAAAAGACCATATATGTAGCGGACGAATAGAAGTACGCCACATATATTGGCGTTGATCAATAATAGCCAAAAGAGATCTTCCAAACCAAATAGGGAATGATTTAGAAGGGAAAGAGAGAGATTTATAGATGCTTAAACCTGGATTCAGACAAGCTCTACAAAGATAAGGAGATTTCTTTATATCGCCTTAAGGAAAAAGTCTTAGATTACTCTTGAAAGAGAAATTTAGAAGCATTTTGGTGGCTTTTAAAGAGAAACCTAAAGATTTTTGATTTCTTTAGAGAGAATTTGATATGAATAGAAGTATTTTGACAACTTCTAAGGAGAATTATGGAGATATTTAGTATCTCAATAAAGATTTGGATTGATTAGAAGTAGTTTGACAACTTCTAAAAGAGAATTCTAGAAATGTTTGGTATTCCAAGAAAGAATTTGGGTTTTGATAGAAGAAATTTGATAACTTCTACAAGAGTTTAGAGATATTTTTCTATTAACTAAAAGGCTAGGGGTATTTTGGCTACCACCTATAAGTTTAAGGATAATTTTGGCTATCATTTGAGAAGGATTTAGAGATATTTGATATCTTAAAAAAAAAGTTTTAGGGATATTTTGCTATCTCCTAAAAGTTTAGGGGTATGTTGGTTACCACCTACAAAGTTTCCAAGGATATTTTGGCTATCACTTGAAAGGGTTAGGAACATTTGATATTTCTTAAAGGTCAAAAAGGCATTTAGCACCTATTGGGAGGTTCTAAATATTTTGGCAACCAATTAGAGATAGAGTCCACCTTATTTGGGTAAGATAAAACTCAAAAGAGGTTAAGGCAAAGGGTATCTGGCTACTACCTGAGCCTTAGGGATATTTGGTGCAAATGTTAACTATTTTGACTAGATAAACCTTAAAATTGGCAAGACTAACGGGTTTTTTGAAAACTACTAAAGTCTAGATTTGGATAGATCTATTGATGTTCAATTTGGATAGAACAAGATCTAGAGAGATGAGCTTGGAGAGACATTAAAAGGTTTGAATTCTACCTAAACTCATAGCTTGATTAGAAGACTCCTATTTTGGGATGTCTACACTTAGTATTTGGTACTAATATTTGAATTTTTCTTTCCTTTGAAGAAAGATATGATTGTTTTCCTTTCATTTTGAGAAAGAAAAGATTATCTTCCTTTTGGAGAAAGATGAACATGAACATTCATTTGGAGAAAGATTAATTTTATTTTCCTCTTTGGGAAAGATGAAATGTTTAAAATTTGGAACCTAGGTTTTGGTAATCTTGACCCAATCCACAATTGGATGGGAAGAACATTTCTATTTGGAAGAAACATTCATTCATTGAAATTGAAATTTGGATACAATCAATTGTAGTATTTCTTTAGGAAATGTCCATTGATAAGCAACATAGGACATTCACAATTACAATCAATTAACTGATAGGACCCACCTTGATAGGCCTTTTCGACCACAAAGGGGCCTTCCAAGTAGGCTCGAACTTGCCACCTATTTTATGGTGAGCTAGAATCGGTCTGCGAAGAACTAGGACCAAGTTGGCAACTTTGAAAGTTCTAGGATGGACCAATTTGTCATGAGCTTGAGCTATGCAGGCTCGGTACAACTTGAGGTTCTGTTAAGCATGCAAATGCTTCTCATCTAAAACATCAAGCTCATCTGACCTTAGTTGGGCATTTTATTCACTTGTAATTTCTTTATTTATTGCAATTCTGAGAGATGGGAGCTGTGCCTCCAAAGGACAAACAGCTTCCGCCTCATACACTAGAGCAAACAGAGTGGCCTGTGTTGAAATTCTGTATGTGATCCGATAGACCCACAATGCGTCAACCAACTTTTCATGCCATTGACATTTGTCCTCCTCTAAAGTTTTCTTTAATAACTGAACTAATATCTTTTTGAATGCTTCAGTCAATCCATTAGCTCGAGGGTAGTATAGCGTATTATACCTTCAATCAATGCTATATTTTTTAACAAATTAATTAAGCTTGGTACTTTTAAAAGCATGATCATTATTGGATATAATTCGACGTGGAACACCAAATTTGTATACTATATGGTCCTTCAGAAATTGCAGTACATGGCTAATTTTGACTTCTTTCAGTGATATGACTTTAGCCCACTTTGAGAAATAATCAGTCACAACAGAATAAATTATAAAGCTTTCTAAGATTTTTGAATAAGTTGAAAAATCTACAATAATAGTAATCTTATATTTTTTATATGAAAAAAAATGTGTACATTTTAAGGCATTTTGGCTTTTTTAGATTTTTGTTGAACCAAAAAAAAGAACTTATGAGAGTTTTAGTCTTTTAAGAGTTTTGAAGTACAAAAAAGAAGTATGTGTCTTTTGAGGAATTAAGGTTTTTGAAAAATAAAAAAATATACCTTATGCATTTTTTTGTTTGTAAGATTTTTTGGAGAATCAAAGAAAGTTATAATTTTTGAGGCTTATGCCTTCTAAAATTTTTTAAAGTAACTTGTATCTTTTGGGGCTTTTAGTCTTCTGAGATTTCAGGGAACTAAAATAACCTTTAGGATTTTAGGCTTCTAAGATTTTTTGTGCTTTTGTACTTTAAAACTCTTAGATTTTAGCCTTCTGAGATTTCAATAGTCTCCAAATGTCATTATAATTAGAGAAAAAAAGACTTTATATTTTTATTTTACTTATTGGAAAAGTGGTGCATATATATTTTGCTAACTCACAGATATCACAATAAAATTTTTAACTATTGATATTTTTTATAATAAAAGAAAATATAATATTTAGAATAATAAATGAAGGATGGACAAGATGTAGGTGCTGAAGCCTTTTTTTTAAGGATATAAAGGTTTCTAGAACGAAAAATAATAATATTGGGATTTTGAAACTTCCTTAGTCATTACATTATTCAAGGTGGTAGAGACTATCTTTTTATTTAGCAAGTTTAATCATCCTTCTTGTGTCCCGTTCCTGAAATGCATGATGTGAAGGGTATTATATGATACTTCATTTTGACTCTATAGTTATTTTTTGGATAAATAACTAGATTTTGAATAATTTAAGTAATGGAGGATATTTTGAAGTGTGAGAAATTTCATTATAAGAATGTCTCCTTGGCTAGTCACAGTCCTCATGGATTCTTAGGCAATTATTTAACATTTTGATGCTGCCTTCTACAGATTTCCTCTTCTTGCTACATTTTATATATATTCTTTGAAACGAAAATGTTAAAACGTGATTCTGAATGCAAATCGCTTTTATTACTTTCTCGCTCATGTTCAGTTCGTAATGAGTGGACATTATGACTTTAAGAAATGTAATTCTTGTTTTTTTTTTCCTATTTGAAAAGTCAAGTGCAACTTTTCATTTGGACGTTATTGCTTTCGATATTGGAGGTTTTAATGATCTTCTTTTAGTGATGACCTACTTTCAAATGCTAATAAGTTTTTGGTTCTGACAAGGATTCAGGAAAGGGGCAGAAAAATCAGCCACATTCCACTACCATCTCTCTACAATCCCCACCTGACTTTCAGGGCCGTTTTGAGCTAGGACTTGGTCAATCAGTGGTAAGCTCATCCCTTATTTGCTATTACCCAACCTCACCAGCCTTTCCGAAATTCTCAACTAAGCACACCACAACCACCACTGCAATCCTGTGCACACAATTACTTTTACCATTTGATTGATTGTTGCAACTGTTATTGAGTAGGTTTGCTCAAATTATCCGTACATTGATCAATGCTATGGCCTGTTTGCAACTTATGGAGCTCAAGCAATGGTTAGGATCTCTTGCCCTGCCCTACTATCTTCTCTTTCATCAAGTACATTTCATTTGTGATGCAATGCTGCCTGATTATGTTCACATGGCAGTTTCTATCAGACGTGTTTATTTAAGCATATTTAGTTGTATGGAAGAATTTCAACGGCTCATGAGATGTTGACTTCATCTTGACATCTTGAACTACTTCATGTTATATTTTATAGTATTGACATAAAACTATTTAATGTGTGATGCAATCTTGAATCAATAGTCCATAATGTGAGGCTTCTGCTTCCATGAAATTAGAGGAGCTGGCCTCCAAATCGGTAAAACGCTCCCGCCCCACAAGTTGGCTAACCTGGATCTAATTTTGGCCACAGTGTCCGCATCTTAATAATTATGACTACATAAACTAGATATTAGACCTGTAAGTTCGATTTGGTCAGGTCATTACCTGGCTAGAGGGACATTAAGTGTAAGCCACTCCAATTTTGACTGATAGATTGAGTTCTTTGATTGAACATTCTCAGTTACAGTATACAAGTTCTGCTCTTAAATTCAGACACAGTTCTTTAAATCCCCAGAGTTATTCTTTGAGTGTACGCTCAAACTTGTGTTAATGCATGATTTATTTTATACCCTTTTGTTGCTGTAGTTCAAGAGGGTAAAACGACCTTTATTGAGGAATGATGGTGTCTTCGTTGATTTTCTATGCCCCTGCTCCCAAGTAACTAGGAAGTACTATTTCTCGTTGAGTAGGAATTATTTTGGGGAGGAAGGCCTTTTTGACAGCTAGAGAAGGTGTTTCTATGTTGGAAGAGTTCGTATGGTTTCTGCCTTTCTGGATAGTTTTTGTTTCCTGAGAAAGGTAATAATAGTATAATTGCAAGGACAGCCCTTCATTCCTTTTGTTAAGATTCGACTTCACTTTTTAATTTTCATGTTGTGGGTTGAAGTTCCCTGATCTAAAAAGTTTCTTTTCTCATCTGAGCAAAATAACTAGGACATACAATTTATTGTTGAGTACGAGTTATTTAGTGCAGGAAGTTGAAGCTTTGTTTATTGCTGAAGATGTTACTATGTTGGAACAGTTCTTTATGGTTGCTGGGTAATTTTATGGTTGCTAATCATGGTGATAGTAATAGAATTGCAAGGACAACCCTCCCTTTCTTTGGTTACAATTCGACTTGACCTTCTTGTTTCGATGTTGTGGGTTAAAGCTTTCCAAACTCGTGTAGCATGTAACATGTTAATTTAATTTAGCAGTTTTTTAGATATACTCTGCAAGCCCCTATGGAGGGCATTCTTGTTGAATCTGAATTGAAGGATGGAACTCTTGAGTATTGGACTTAAAGTCTACTGTCTTAGCTATAAGAACAGTGCATGAAAGACAGTTAAATGGACCCTTGAATCATTAATGGCCATTAATTTACTTTGTAAATAATGGATGATGAAGGAAAAGGCTTAGCCATAAAATGTTTATCTTCTTTTTCCCTTTCTGAAATTGAATTGAACATTGTCATGCTGGAAACTGCCTAGTACGAATTTAGTGAACTAATGAATTTGTCTGTAGCTCTGGACTGCTCATTGCACTTAAAGGTTAGAATTTGTCACGACAGTGTGTTCCACAAGAAGTCTGTCTAATGGCTTAGTCACAAAAGATAAATCTGGAAGTAAGAAAAACTATGAAAATCATCTGGCGGAGTTTCAGAAAGGGAGATCTGAAATTGAAAAACAGAAGCCCTTATCTTGATCACTTGTGGGGTGTTTATTGTAGTTAATAGGGGGAACGTTGGTACCTTCGTGAATGAATGAAAGGAAGTAGATGCCTATCTTATCTCTGAAAGTTTGTTGACCTCCACACGAAATCCCACTTGGATTCTGCTCAAATCCTTCACAGCCGGCTACCCCATCCCCTATCTTCCCCACGCCTGCTACAACCGCCTGTTTTTGTCAACCTGCAGCTCGTTTTCTCCCTCACACTCCAACCCCGCTGGAGAACTCCCTGTTCGATCTTCCTCCCGCACACAGGCAGTTCTCCCGTTCGGCCTCACCTACTCCCAGCCATTCGAACCCACCTCTTCTGAATCCAACCGTTGACCCAGCCCAATCTAGTCATGTTTAAAGGTTCCCGCACACAAAGCCCCGACCTTCATCCGTGTACTAAAGTTGTGCCCGACCACTCAACGTCTTCGACCTTCTACTTCCTCCTATTCACACTTAACCCAACCTGCAGCTACTCACAACTCCATCTCCTACGGCTTCATGTGTTGATCTCTCCTTCAAACTCTGATCTTGACTTCACCTCACCTACGCTCGACGCTTGCAACCTCTTTACTCTACTAAAGCCACTAATTTCGTTAGCGAGCACATCCTGCGTCCGATCTCCCAACCGCAAGCTCCTGAACGAGCCGAACCGCAATTTCCATCTGTCGCCCTCACGATTGAAGCTCTTCCACTTGCTATCATCTAAACCACATAGCGCCATCTCGATTGAACTAGTCGCCCCAATTCCTGCGATTGATTTACTCTTCTCGATTCGACACCCAATCACCCATCTACAGACCACCTGATCTCTTCACTTGATCGAAGGCCTTCCCCGAGCTCCATCTATGATCCACTCCTAAAACTCCCGATTGCAAGCTGCTTGCAAGCCATGATCCCAAACCTATCCCACTCCACTTGATTTAACTGACATAGTCGAGAACCTCACGACTCCAACCTGAGCTCTGATACCCGCTCGACAACACTTCTAACAGTCGACTTGTTGCCCTCACCTTCTCTTAGATGAATCCAATCCCTCATAGCCAAATCCTGCAACCAAACTCCCTTACAACTTGACCTACTCTCGATCCACCCATTCTAACAAAACTTCACCACTTGCCTTCCCTTCCTTATACCACAGCAGCCCAAAAACTCAAGCAGTTCACTGCAAACGAACCAACCAGCACTAAAAATCAACCCACTCACAAATCCACTCAACCCCTTCCAACAACCATCTCTCTCTATCTCTAAAGCATTCATCTCTCTCTTCTCTCTCTCTCTCTCTCTCTCTCTCTCTATATATATATATATATATATGAAAGGAAAAAATTCTTATGTGAGGAGTGAGGGAGAGAGGATCAACAAAAGGGAAGAAGAAAAATACTAAAAAAGATAAAAGGAAAATTATGTGCCTTGATCTTTGTGCGCATTTTTACCATCGACATCACACCACCGCTGTTGACCCCCTTTGCTGAGGTATAATGATTTCTAAATAAAAAAACTCCCAAAATCCTATTTTCGACACTCGTGGCGCAACGGCGGACTGCATATGCACGCTTTTCTCTAGCATGGTGGGAGGGAACCCGGTGTGTCGCTTGTGGCGATGCGGGTAAGCCTTTTGCACGTTTTTCTTATTGTATCGGGATAAAATTTAAGTATTGTGTACTTGTCTCAGTGCTTGTGAGGAAAATTTGCATTTTCAAACAGCTACTTCTGAAGACCCATGCACGCCTTTCTCTGGCATGGTGGGATTGAAGACTCCGACTGCGATGTCACCCGACACCGACCATGCACGTCATTCTCTTACGTGGTGGGCAAGTTAAGTGTTATAACTCAAAAACTTGAAAATTACCATTTTACATATAAAAATCAAGAATTTATTTAGGAGCAATTATAAGTTCAAATCACAAATCGTCTTCGTCATAACATATATATTATGGTATTTTAGTGTCACTAATTTTTTTATAAATTTTGTGCGCTGGTGAAATTCTTTAAAAAATTAGTACCTGTCGGTACAATGGGGGTTTCAGGATTGTTATGTGTCCTTTTTGTAAACTGATTTCACCAAACATTTTTAAATAAATGTTATTTTTTGAATATTTTGTATACATTTTTTGAAGCCCTAAAAGGATTTATAAGAATTATATTGAAAATTTTATTATAATAATATTATTATGTTATTATTTTATATAAAAATCTGAAACCATTATATATTTTCTTAAATGCCTTAATACCTAAGTTTTTCTCTCATTTTCCTTAACATAGAAGGGTTTGGGAAAATTGAGAAGAAAGAAAGGAAAGAGAAGGAAGGAAGCTAGGTTTTGGCAGCTATAAACGATTTTTGTCCGTCGGCCTAGTTGGAATATTTGCTCATCTTGAGGTATATTACGTTTTGTCTATTTCAATTTCAATAATTTGATATTTTTATATTTTTTCAATCAAATTTCTATTTTTGTAACAAAAAATGAGGATAACTTTGTTTTGATAAAACTTTTATCACATAATTTTTTATATGTTATAGAGAGTGAGATTATGAATATTTTGAGTATATTCTGAAATTTTTTGCCGGGTAATTTTGAAAAAGCAATGATTTTTGCCTACTCATAAATTTATTTTGACATATAAAAATAGTGTTTTAGTTCAATGAAAGCTTTATAATGATGTTTTACACAATGTATGATAATTTTTTTATATTTTGAAATTATGAATTTTTGGTCAGTAGTATTTCTGGTGTTTACAGTTAGGACATTTTGGTAATTTTTAAATTCAGTCTAATTATGCTTTAATTAATGAAATGCATTAGAAATGAAAGAAATGTGATGTGATGTCGACGCCAGTGGGAAACCAAGGTTTGATTATGTTACCTAGGTTTTGTGATGTCAACGTCAGTAGACGATCGAGGTGAGATTCTGTAATCGAAGTATTGTGATGTTGGCACGCCAGTGGGCGACCGAGATGGGATTTTGTTACCAAAGTGTTGTGATGCCGACGCTAGTGAGCCACCAAGGTTGGATTCTGTTATGCTGGTGCCAGTGGGTACCGAGGTGGGATTTTAGTAACAAAGATGTATGAAAGTTTGGGCTTAAGAGCTATTTTGATAATCATTATGAAGTGTTTATTTATAATTTAATTAATTTCATTTTTTGTTTAATTGTATGCAATGGCAGTATATGATTCAAGTTCTTTTGATTTTAGTTATTGATTTTTGTTTTAGGCTGCCATAGCCTACTGAGCCGTGTTAGCTCATCCCTGCTTTTTCTTATATTTTCAGGCCTGGGAAAGGGTAAGGAGCGATCTGAGTAGTTTGGATAACAGGCTCCAATCTGTTTTGTACGTATATTTTGGTTAGTTTAATTTTTGTAAGCTTGACTTTTATTTTGTTATTCTCTCTATTGCCAAGTGTTGTTGTAGATAGCCTTCTGATTATATATTTTTAGATGATATATAGAAAATCATATTGAAATTCAGTATTCTTTCACTTTATAGTACATTCAATAGCGACTCTGTTTAGTATATAAATTGGAAGTTTTATTTTAGTATTTCTCCAATCAGATCTTGGGGTCAATCTTGTCACAAATTGACACGGTATGAGCTGTATGATATCAGGTCATATTGGCTTGGGTTGTGACACTAAGACTCCCAAAATTTCTCCTAAACTGGGGAGACGTTGGGAGTCTTCTGAAATTCAGATTGATGACGCATAAAACTTAAATGAATAACAGGGGACTAAATTTTAACTACAGCAGGGGACCAGACTTGAACTGAACATCAGGGAACTGGACATTATTTAAAAAAAGATGCACAATCATAAATAAAATACAAATGCGAACTAATAATCATGATCATCCAAAAGAATGCCAACGAACAAATAAATGACTCGTGGCATGTAAAGAACAATGAGCATGCAGCGAAATACAATTGCTCGCATATGATTATGAACACAAACATAATACTTGCATAAATACAATAATTCATTTGTGTGGGGAGGGAGATTTGTAATGAACACAACCTCGCTTGCATGCAATAATGGGAGGCAAGACGATTACATTGAATGTAATGGTGTGCATGAATAGAATGTAGAAAGCGCTCAACAAATGTGACACCCCGTAGCCAATATCAACATACAGTTAAACGTATTAAACCCTGCAAGCAATGGAGGCCAAAATGCATGAAGAAATCAGTGATGAGTAAGGCTCATCCAATAGCCAATATTCACATGCAAATGAACATACTAGATTCACTTTCAAATGATAATACCCCCCCTGCAGGCATATACATATAGCATATGATGAATGCTAACACCTATTGACAACGACGGAAGATTTGTCGTATGCACGGTGGTATTCCTAAGAATGGTAGCCAACAACAGGTAGTGAATGTTATAATACCATTGCAATCAACAACCATCTAATGGAAGGCAAATACACAAATCCCTTGCAAGCAAAAGGCAGTCGATTTGCGACAAACGTAAGTACCTACGAGTTGTGGTAGTAGACTTGCCATATAAACAACAAGCTATTTACAAGCAATCACAGAAGCCTGTGAGGAATGCAATTATCTACGAACAACTGTTGGAAGTTTGTTAATTTCTCACCTACAATAGGCAACAAGCGAAACTCAACCCGTAATGGCACCCCACCGGATCCGCAACACTCGTACAAGTAGGCAGAAGGCGTTTACATGCTTCTAAATAGAATACTGCGCGCACTCAAATAACAATCATTCGTGCAGCTAATTGGCGTCAACACTTTTAAAATGACAACCCACATGCATTACAACATGCAAAACATATCATGTAAGTATGTCATTTAATATATAAAATGCATTACGCCATGATTTGACATTAACATGCAATCATATCATGTATATACACCTTGTAAAATATAAAACACATAATGCAATATGCAAATGCATATGCTAACATACATGCATACATGCAACTGTCGCACAAACACATTATGCAAAATACATGCAAAAGTATATACCCGCATGGGCCCTAGCGAGCATGTTGTACATATGTGACGTCTGAGGATGCTATGCAGGTCAAGAAATGAACTTAAATTTGAGCTCGATCCTTCTATGTGAATAGATAAGAGTTAGCACGGCTCGAACTATTCAACAAATATACAATCACAACATCTACTAAGATGCTTATTTTACAAGTTCATATTAGGCCTTCAAGGTTTATAACAAGGAAAATTCATTAATAAAAGTATAAAGTCAACGACAAACTTGATTCCTCTATTGGTAAGTAGACATAGTCAACAATGTCCAACCTAATAAAGTGAAATTTCTCATAAGTATCCCAATGATAGCATGTTGAAATCTCAACCAGAGGGAGCCCCAAACATTCAAAAAATGCCCCAAATTTACATGAAATACATTCAATAATACAAATATTTAAAATTGAAATAAAACACCAAAACACTTAAAGCAAAAATACTCATTCATCTTCCGCAATAGTTTGCCGAGGTGGATAAATATGAAAATCTCTTTAGCTCACAAAGAACAAATATCTGGTCAAGAATATCATTATGATTCATTTTCAAACCGTCTTCTGCCAATAAGGACGTGTCACGTGTCCTCTAACCGGTGGTTCTCCTTTAAATGACACCACAAGTAAACGGTTATGACCGGGACTCTCTAATCGGGTGGTTTTGCCACCAAATGACACCATTAAATTACGGTCATGGTCAGAGCACGTATGTTCCCCAATGGCATCAAATCCTTGAGTAATGAATCAATAGGATATAATTGATGGGGCATAAAGTCCTCTGTTAGCAAAGGTGGATTCAAATTTGTCCTCTTAGATAAATATTCATTCTAAGTTTACATGGTATCTTTGGATGAAGCAACCAATGTGTGCCGACAAGGATCATTCTGTCAAGTTGTGTCGATTACCTCCTCTAACTAGATAGATTAGGGACCATGATGATCCGGGACGACAAAATGATGGGATCTTGATTTTGATCTATCATCACTCCCCTTACCATCCGTTTTAAGTGCAAGGTGATAAATTTCTAATTTTAAATATTAAATTCCAAATACATAATCATGCTGCTACTATACGTCAGATACTACATATATGTTTAACTAATAGCCTTAATCGAAAGTTCTCTCGCCATCAGTAGGGGTAATTAACTATAGTGGTTTGCGCCTATAGGAAACCTGAACTAAGATCATAAAGTTCTCGCGAAATGAGGGCGAAATCTCTAGGTAATGTCCTATTCAAAACTCAATCTACCTTCTGAAAATTTGCCTCGGAACTTGTTAAAATTCTCCTCGACGACCCAAAGAAAAGAAAAGCGTCCGCAAAGAGGCTGAGGTGTGAATTTTTGGAGCCCACAAAGTTTTATTTGGCCCATCTGCCTTCCATTTTGTAGGACTCTGATATGCTCTTGGGTTGAACAATTTTGCAAACTTATGATGCTTGAAACTAGAAAAGTTGCTTTCGAGTGTATATATCATTGGTTAGGTATATTAGACTAATGATACTTGGATATTGTTGTATCTGACTTTATTTGGTGTATTCAATTTAAAAATTTGTAGAAGAGTTGGATGCAAATTTTGTTAGGTAGTGAATTAAAGGGGTATTTGGTTGAGCTAGATATAACTGCAAATCCAAAATTTAAGCCCATGGATGAGGATAAACTAATTTATGTATTTTTTACTTCAACATAATTTTCAATTATCTCATGTCAGAATTCAATTCTTAGATGTCTTACCAATATCTCCTCACATAATCACTCCATATATAAGTCTCATGAGAACCATAAATTGCATGACCACTCTATCCCAATTATTCCCAAACAAACCATCCTCTCTAATACCCCTCGATAGGGAATGAATTTAAGGGGGAACTAAAATTGGGCTTGATCTTGTGGTGATCAAACCCATGCCCACCAAGAAGTTTTAAGTCTATGAATGAGGATCAACAATTAATATTTCTAAAAAAATAATAATAATATTTCTACTCTTAACAAAATTTTCAACTATAAGATGTAGGATAGAAAGTATTAGAAATGAACTTTTTTTATCAGATTTAAATAAGAACTTGACTTTTATCAAGACGCAATGAAGAAAAAGGAATCATGTTGTTGTTGTTGTTTCTATAGATGTAGGATAAAGACGTTGTTGTTGTTGTGGATGTAGGACCAAACCTAATGCTATCAAGTGCTTTAAAAGAATTAGACATCAAACAGTTTATCCATTTTGAAAATCTGAAAGGATGAGTTTGTTTAATTTGGAATTTAAAAAAAAAAAAAAAAAAAAAAAAAAAAAAAACTGACTGTGCAGGATGATCGGGTGCTCTTTTAGCATTATCACAATTCTTTCTTCTCTATTGTTATTGTAAACTATGTGTACACTGAAATCTGCATATCAAAAATCGAAGTTTGAGAGCTTTAATTTGCTTGTTTTATGGGCACAACAACAAGGTGGATTGGTAGTCTATACAAACATTACTATTATAAAAATATTTATGTATTGATTTTTTTTCAGAAATTCCGGGTATATGTATGTTTCTAAATATAATCTCCACAGTATTCCTTCTTATCAATGTTCTATTTTTTCAAAACTCTGTATTAACGTACTGTATGTACTGTCCGTTTATCAATACATCCACTAAAAAGTAGTTAAATTGTAATCTTCACAACATATTTGAATGTAATCTTCAAACATATTCGTCCGTTCAAGTGCTCTACTTTTCCATTGCTTTTTTATATCCCCATATCCATATGTCCTGTATACTGTATCCATGTATGAGGCCCTGCTTCAGTCAAGTAGTTACTAATGATTCTTTCTTTTAAATGTAGCATGGGCGGATGCTTCTACCACTGAATATGACTGCTGATGTACCCGTATATGTTAATGCTAAACAATACAACGGCATTGTTAGACGCAGGAAAGCTCGTGCAAAAGCAGAGATGAAGAGCAAACTGACCAAAATTAGGAAGGTAAAGATTGGAAGTCATATAACTTAAATATTTCACTCTTATTAAGAGCAAACAGACCAACTAAGAACCATGTTGGTCCCTTCACCAAATATTTTATTTTAATCTCTCAGTTTTCCCTCTTCTTGTAGCCGTATCTCCATGAGTCGCGCCATCAACACGCAATGCGGCGTCCAAGAGGCTGCGGTGGCCGTTTCCTGAATACAAAGAAAGATGCGAATGTTCAAACTGAGAACAAGCCTGGTAACCCCAACAATGGCATGCGACCGACTCGTCTTGCTACATCTCCAAGCTCTGAAATTCTTCAATCCGATAGCGGAAACCCGAACTCGGCTAGCTGCGGCTCAAGCATATCCAGATCAGAAGTGACCAGCATGTATTCACAAGGTGAAAATGATCACTTCCATCTCATTGAGCATCTCCGTCCGTCTCTTTACCATCCTCTATCGAGCATGATTGTTGGAGACCACAGCTCGGTTATCCCTTCGAAATGGGGAACAGCAGCTGATGGTTGCTGTGACCTTCTCAAGGTCTGAGGTGCCGAGCTTGCTGCAACCAGATGGAAGAGCTAGCTGCAATAGCCGTGATACTGCTTTGCAGCCTTTGCTGCCATCTGGTTAGTTGAAAGGCAAATCATTCTTGGCTTAATCTGCATTGAGGCATATTTCTCTTCAGTGACACTGATGGAAATCCTCACTGCTCTGTATCAAGACTTAATACAGCAGTAGTAGCCTTTAGCTCTTTTGCTTTCTGTAGTGGTAGTCTGTGTGAGATAATAAGAAGTCGAAGTATGTGGGCTTTTTGTGTTCTGTGTGATGGTCATAGTAGTTGTGATGCTTCTAACTTTGTGCTTGTTTGTTAATAGTATTTATGACTGTTTCTGTGGAACTTTAAGCCTGGCCTTCAGTATTTCACTGTTAGCTAAGCTCTTTGAGAACTTTGAAGCTTGGAATTAAAGTACTTTCTACTTAGGTTGTTGCTTCTTCGCTGATTCTATAATATACCTGGTGAGAATTAGCTTTCTACAGCCAACAAAGCTAATTCTTTTTTTTTTGGCCGTTGGAGCTCTGACTTTTTGTGTATTTTGACTCCTTATTTTGTGGTTTTTGCTGCTCGTCCTGTTTTTGAGCAGGTTTTTGTGCTCAGCTGATCTTGCTAATTTTTTATGGGGCTGCTTTTGATTTCATTTTACTTGTAATCTCCAGTTTTCTTTCTTCAATATACGGGCTAAGTCCAAATTTTTCCTAAAAAAATAGCTTTCTTGCATGCCTAGAAAGAGAGCGGAGAGAAGTTGTGATCCAGTGTGTGAGCAAGAAATTGAGAAGGCGATGATCGATGTCGGCCTCCCATGGCATGCGCGACATTACAACAAGAGAGAGAAGTGGTTGTGTTGGGTGGTTCATCATTCGGTGGGTTTGCTTTCATGGCTTTGATGATGTCGATGAAAAAGAAGTCAATGGAGTCATATAGGTAAGCAAGTATTGACCATTTCTTCTCCTATTTTCATTTCTTTTAGCAACACCATTAATTTCTTTCTTTTACGGTTAGAAATTAGAAAGAGGCAGTTGCTTGATAGTTTGCAAGGAAGAGGAAGATTTGATTAATTGTTGAAGAGGGAATCATGGGGATGTTTAATGAAGTTCTTCCTCCTCTTCTTCATTTAGATAAAGTGGAAATACTGACCTTATTTTCCCTCGTTAATAATTAATAATTTAAATATTTTCATGGTGATTAGAATTTATAAACTCTTATATATGTTAACATTAAAATTATATGAATGTCCTTTAACGATTTTAAATATGACTTTAAGATTTGAATTCTTATGTTCCACTTTAGAATGAGATAAATTTTATTTACTCACGTACTAGTTTTATATGTATGTTGGAGAATTTTGTTACATCAACGGATTGCATATTTTATGATTGAGTACGGCATAAGAAAAATGATATATTACCCTGAAAGATAAAAATATCATTTTCCTTATGGATTCAATGATAAAATTCACAATTTAGTAGAGATTCCCTCATTCAATATTTGGTTGAATGTTATTTATTTTATTCTGGGGTACAGATGTCTCATAGGGGCAAGCTGTGATGTCCCATAATCTAAATTGGAAGAATTATCCTTTTATCATTTAAATAAACAACAACCAAAGTTATCTAATATTATTTATCAGTAATAAACAATAAAATAGATTTTATAATTTAAAACATTATTGTACACATCTATATTCGTTTTAAAAAAATTATATATACTACTCAAGATCTACATAATTATATCATAACTATTTAGTCCTTAGTATAAAATAATAACTAAAATGAATAGAATCTGAAGAATCTTGACTAACCACACACTCATTCGCCCATGCCCTTACTTGAAATCATTTAATCGTATATAATGAGCTTAAAAAGCCCAACATGTCACCAAATCTTATAACTAAATTCAAAGCATGTCAAAGAAGCAATATGCATGTCAACAATATAATAATAACAGTTATATTCATATGATCATTGAATCAGTATAGAAATAATAAAATTCACATGCAACAATAGTAGAATTTATAAATCAATCATTGTATTAGTATTATTAGTCAATACAAAAATTATATAAATATCAAATAAAAATATCGATAAAGACTATCAAAATCAAATCAATGAATAAAATCTTATATAACTCAGTATATCGCATGCTTACCATCAGTACAATGAATCAATAATATCAATAATAGTAACAATTAAGTGGCAGAAGCAGTAGAATAATGCAATAACAATAAATTTGTGCAGCAACAATAAATTCATACAATAAAAAAATAATGCCTAAAAAATATACATTTCAGTAGTCACACTAAACAAGTAAGAAGTCCTGGCTATCACGATATTTTTCAGTGTTAGTATCAATGTTAGTAAACCATTGGCTCCGTAAATAAAGTTGTCACTCTTTGCCCGTCGGTACAGTATTGTTCTCCTTATAACTCACAATCAGTGTATCACGTGAATTAGTAGAGGATAATATCAAATCACAGTATTTAAAGGAAAGCCGATCAGCCTACCATCCTGTATAGGTCAACCAGTATTTACTTATTTGTTTCACACACACACATTATTATCACAATACTATAATAGTAATAACGACCAACTATTACTCAAGCACATATATACATCTATTTATAATATATTGCAACAATAAAGCATAATTGAGCTTAAGTAAGAAGATGCAAAAAATATCGTAACAGTAGACAACAAAGAATCATATTAGAAAAAATACATATTTCCAGAAATTTACCAACTATTTCTAGCTGGTTCTCAGCATTGTTGTCTTGCGCTTTTTCGTAATCCTTAATCAAGGCTTTTAAAAGCAAGGGAGGATAGAATGAGAGAGGGAGAGTTGCATGAGAAAGAGAGCGGAGAGAAGTCGTGACTAGACCTGTCAATTTCGGGTTACGGGTCGGGTTCGGGTCAACCCGGAATTGACCCGGAACTATTCGGGTTCGGGTCAACCCGACCCGTTTTTGTAAACGGGTCGATTTTCCAGACCCGAAACCGACCCGCTTCGGGTTCGGGTCAACCCGACCCGACCCGGGGGAAGCCTCCTCCCGTCCCGGCAAGGCCTCGTCAGCTAGTCCGCTCCTCGCGGACCTCGCCTGCGGACGCGTCCTCGGTCCTCCGCGGCTCCGCTCCGCTCGGACCGCTCCAGCGCTCCTCGCCTGGGACGTGATTTGGATTAGAGGCGGGAATAAAAAAATGCAAAGAGGCGGGAACAGCGGGCAAAGAGGCGGGAATAAAAAATTTTAAGTTAAACGGGTTTTCGGGTTGACCCGGCAACCCGTCGGGTCAACCCGAACCCGACCCGTTTTTATAAACGGGTCGGTTTTCATAACCCGAACCCGACCCGCTTCGGGTTCGGGTCAACCCAAACCCGAAAATTACGGGTCGGGTTCGGATCCGGTTTTCGGGTCGGGTCCAATATTGACAGGTCTAGTCGTGACCCAGTGTGTGAGCAAGAAATTGATTAAGTGATGATTGACGTCAACCCTTTCTTCTCCTATTTTCATTTCTTTTGCAACACCATTACTTTCTTTCTTTTAGGATTAAAAATTAGAAAGAGGTGGTTGCTTTATAGTTTGCAAGAAGAGGAAGATTTAATTAATTGTTGAAGAGGAAGTCGTGATACTTTTCATGGAGTTCTTCTTCTTTCTCTTCTTGATTTAGATAAAGTGGAAATCCTAACCTTATTTTGCCTCATTAATAATTAATAATTAATATATTTTCATTGTGATTATGATTTATAAACTTTTATATATGTTAACAGTAAAATTATAATGGTTGCCTTTAACGATTCTAAATATGAGTTTAAGATTTGAATTATTCTGTTCCACTTTAGAATGAGATAAATTTTATTTAGGCATGTATTATTTTTATATTTAAAACTTAATCTCCTAGATTTAGCATTAATATTTGAGATTTGTTATGAAAAATAATTTAGGGGGGAGGATGATAGAATCATTTATTTCAAAAGATGTTTAAGTGATTTTCATTTTATTTAATATTTTAATATATGATATAGTTGAAAAAATATAATTGATGTAGACTCTTGTGAATCTAGAGATGTGGAGTATCGTGTATTGGAGTGGGAGGAGCCTCATCATGATTGATTATAATCTCTAATATTTTTTATTATTTCTAGAAGTTTTTAGGATTAAAGGGAAATCAAGATAAAAGCTTTATCATTTTTTCTAAAGGTTGTGATATTGCCAATGATATTGGTCAGATTTTTGGGAATTCCTATTTCTCATAATTCGTTGAAATGTTTAGGTTTGCCTATTTTTTTGTAAAAGGCTGTTTAATTCAAATTTTCGGTAGTTGCTTCAAAATTATTGCTCTTCTTGTTGGTTGGAAAGCTAGGATTTCATTATTTGTTGGAAGAATTCAATATATTAGCTTAATTATTTCTAATATTGTTTCGTATTGGATTTGAGGTCTTTCATTGTCTAAAATTTGTTTCAAATTTATCAAGAAAGCTTGATCTAATTTTTTTATTTTATGATGAAGTTGCTATCAGAAAAATTCATATGATAGCTTGAAAGGATGTTTTCATGCCTAAGAGATTGGTGGGTTGGGGATTCCGGATCTGAATGCAATAAGCTTTGCTTATGGTTGTTCCCTTATATGATGTATTATTAATGATATTGGTCATTTAGTTGTTTGGGTTAAATTTAAATATATTTTTTGTTGGAAGCCTTGCTCTCAAAAGGATTCAAAATTTTGGAATAATCTTTGTAGTGTTACTAGGGATATTAAATGTAATATTTCTTTTAACGTTTCCTCTAATTGTCCTTTATCTATGTATTGGGATCCTTGGTTTAAGGGGAAAGCTCTTCATGAAGTCCTCTTTACAAATTTGAATTGTTTGCTTAATTCTAAAACTTACGGGGATTGGATTACGAATGATAATTAGGAGATTCCTATGCATATTCCAAAGGATATTGCTTTAGTTATTTCGAGCATTTCTATTCAGAATCAGGTCATATCTTATATATCATGGGATAATGTGAAATATCATGCTTTCAAGATTTTTCATAATGATTTTTATAAGATTTTTTCTAAAGTATAATGGTTTTCTTATATTTGGCATAAAAAAGTATTCTTTGAGATTATCTTGTTTTGCTTGGATGGCTATGTTGAAAGGGTTGAAAACAGTTGATCTTTTAGCTAAAGGAATATTATTGTGCCTTTAAACTGTATCCTTTGTTCTACAACGATTGAAAGTTATAGTCATTTGTTCTTTGAATGTGATTTTTCTTTCAAAATTATATCTTATTTTGTGCATGGGTTAAGTTTCTTTATGCTTATACCAAATTTAATGCAAATACTTGAATTCATTTGGAACTCGAATTGTTTTGTTGATACTAATTACCTGTTTTATCTCTCTACATGCATGTTGCTCCCTTTATTACATTTGGAAGGAAAGAAATTTTAGAAAGTT